CTGCCCTGCCCTCCCCCTCTGTAACCTGGCCTCACTGGCTTCCCCTCGGCCCGTGTCCCTGCATTTTTTATCACTGCTGGGACACAGCTTCCCCACCCTTCCCACATGCTCTGCAGATGTTGGCACCAGCCTGAGTCTCTGGGCACCTGGCAGAGTCATTGCACCTATAAAACTGGAGTTCACATGCAGAACAGTGGTGCTTGGCTAGGGTCCCTCCCTCCCTCTGCCTGTCCCACAGTTCTGTGAACACTGAGTGCAGATGCACTTCCTGCCTTTGGAAAGCCAGCACCTGGGACAGGGTCAATAAATAGCTGCCAAGATGGGCCCATTTTATGGATGAGGAAAGTGGCAGGGCCCTGTGTTCCTTCTCACACTTAAGTGAGATGTCCAGGGTACTGATTTAAGGTGGTGCTCACCTTCAGAGGCCAACCCTCTGCTGGCACCCCTTGTGAGTGAGTGCCACCTTAAATATGATGCCTTGCTTGTCTGGCCCTTGTCATACCCCAGAGAGGAAGGAGGTGAAGGGCAGAGGGACAGTGGCCAGGCAGCCCTAGCCCAGGGGGCTCTCCACCCCATTCTGGAGGTACCCAGCTGCCCTAAAAGCCCTGAAGTGAGCTGACTCTGTCCATCACATCCAGACACCCAGCTGTGCAGGGAGCAATCAAGGCAGCCATTTCCCCCAATGAGCTTGAGTTTAGAGGCCTGGAGGAGCTATTTGCAGCACTTTAAAAACCTTTTATAGATCAGTTTGTTACCATTGACGACAGTGGAAGAAATCCTGCTATTAGAGGCAGGAGCTCTAAGAGGTTTGGGCATTGGCTGTTTCTGATCGGGAATGCCGTGCTGGCAATCAATGCTCCATGTGTCCTTGCGGTGCTTCGTGAGGAAGCCACAGGTTGGCTTGAGCTTCCCTGCCATGCATGCCCCTCGTGGTTTGGTGCCCCCCTTGACTAGAACTTGGGGTGATATTTCCTCTGTAGTCAAGCTAGAGCCCCCAGGCTTCCCGCTCCAGGCTGGCTGAAGCTTGGTGTCAGATCTGGGTTTCCTGGGGGCACCACGAGCTGATGGAGGCTGCTTTGTGTCTCGCCCTCTTTCCCTCCTGTCTTGTTCTCACTCCCTTTTTCCACGTCTTTGCCCTTGTGCCTGCTCTCCCTCATCTTCTTCCTCTTTCTTTTGTTCTCTCTTCCCCTTGCATCTCTTTTCTTCCTTTCCTTCCTTCCTCTTCCTAGAGTCCAAGAAAGTGTAAGGAAATAACAAGTGTGGGCCCATAGGGGCTTCTCACCTTGACCACTCTGGCTCATGCTGAGAACTGGGCTTCTTCAGAAGGCCTGCTGCATCTGTGGATGGGGCTCTTCTGGAAGAGTCTGTGGGACCCATGGATGACAGCAGAGTGAGGCCCACCTGAGACCATGAGGCTCATGTGATTCCCAATTCCCTAACAGTACGGGTTGGGTGCCAGCTACCTGCCACTGGGTTCCTTTCTTGGAAGGAAGCCAGACACAGCCCCAGGAGACCATAGTGCAAGATGGAGGAGGGCAAGGCCAGTGGAGGAGCTGAAGAACGACACCCAGGTCCAGTTGGGTGAACCAAGATGGTTCAGGTGGGGGTGGCCTTGGAGTGGGCCAGGACAGTTGAGTGGGTGAGGAAATCATGGGTATGGCAGTGGTGAGGGGGCAACGGGAGGAGGTGAAGAAGGGAAGTGAATTTAGACTTGGGTTCAAATCTTGGCTTCACAGCTTTCTGGCCATGTGGCCTTGCTCAAGCTGCTTCCACTGCTGGATCCTGTTTTCTGACAGGTGAAAGGGGGCCTACCTTGCAAAGGAATGACACAAGATGATGTCTGTTGTGTGTTTGCCCCCTGCCTGGCACATCCTCCGAATGTGGTTTGTGATATCTTTATGAACTTGCCAACAGAGGCAAGCTGTGCATGCGGCTCACTGGGCGTGCAAAAAAGCCTAGAAAGGGACTCCTAGAAACCCTCACTAAAGAGCACTTACAGTGTGGTGATGAGCACTTATATGTGCCAGACAGCATTCTACAAGCCATGGGGGTCCTGCCACTCAGTGCCCATGACAAGGACTCAGTGGGAAGGACTGACCACCATGATGCCCACGTGGCTGAAGAAGTGGGTGCCCTGGAGGGGAAGCAGCTGCCCAGCAGCTCCTGAAGCCGGCGTCCTCCTGGGCATCTCAGCTCTAGAGCCATCTCCTCTCACTGTGGTTCTTCCCTCCCTATTGAAGGGCTTCAGGGGCTAGATAAGGGGTTCGGGCTCTATCATGGCAGGAGGGGAGAAGGAGTGGCAGCCACTGAAAGTGTCTGTGCAGACCAGCCCCAGTCTCATGACGGTGGCCAGTGGGGCAAAGGGCCTTGGGGGCTGTGGAGCAGCCACTATTGTTCCTGTTTCTGGGAACTTCTCTCTCTCCAGCCTCATCACAGGATTGTCTAGGGTTTCTGGAAGGCTCTCTTCTCCCTTCCTTCCAGCTTCATGTCCTAATGGTGTTGTGTGCCAGGGGCTCAGGGGATATTGTTTTCCTCTAATAACTCAGACAACTGATGAAATACTTGGTGCCTTGTTCTCCCTAAGACCTCTCCCCCAGAGAGCCTGTCTTCACATGGCTGCCAGGGCCTTCAATGCCGAAGCCCCTTCATTGGGGACCATCAACATATGGAACTTATTTTTAATTTAAAAGAACAACAGACTCCCCAACCCCCTTCCCCTCCCTCCCCTTCCTCCTGCCGCGGCTCATGGCTGTGCGGCAAACACCAGGCTGTTGCTACCTCTGGGCTTTGCCATCGTGTCCAGCCTGGAAATTCTGCTGGGCCATGTTCAGGGAGCAAGCCAAGGCCCTGGCCAGACCCAGGAAGCCATAGGCACCCCAGCCTTCCCCACCTCTGCCCCTGCTGCATCCCTCCAACTTCTAGGCAAGCCGGCCCATGGCACTCCTTCTCTAGCAGCCGCCCTCTGCCTGCCTTGGGAGAGCTTTGGGAGAGAACACTGTGGCCCAAATGTTTGGATGTTTTGGACAAAAATTAGAGAGGGTTCACTCGAACAGTGGCTGCCATCCCAGCAAAGCTGAAGCCTCCCTGAGTGAAAAGTTCTCATCCTGCAGACGCCACCCCACCCATGGCTCTCCTGCCCAGAGCCTGGACTTTCTAACTCCTGGAATGCATTATTTGATTTTGTCCTCATTGCAAGCCCATTTTACAGGCGAAGAAACTGAGACAGAGAGACTGAGTAACTCATTCAAAGTCCAGTGGTATAGGCAGGACTTGACTGGAACTCTGACCCCAAGCCCGGCTCTTGACTCCTCCATAGACCTGCCCTGGCCAGGACTCCCTGGCCACCTTCTAAGGCTGCTTCACAGCTTGGGCAGGGGCACCAGGATCACTGACTTGCTCTCAACATTGGCAACAACGATGTGCTTTTGCAGATGTTGGTTTGTTCATGGGAAATTTGAGTCAGATTTGAGGGGGAAAGAAGAAGAGAGAGTGTAGAGCCATTGTGCCTAGTTCAGCCACCAACACACTTTTCTGTGGGCCTCTTCTGGCTCCAGAAGCCCCCTCCCCAGCTGTGATGTCACTAGCTAGCCTCTGCAGATGACAGCTCTGTGGTTTATCATCAGCCACCTACTTTCTCACTGCTGGGGACAGCCAGAGCCCAGAGCAGGCCCCTTTAGGCTGGGCCACAGCTGCACCTGCCCCATGCTGCCCTTCCAGGCCTGTGAGCTTTTTGAGATTGTTTGCATTTTGGGAAATGCCCGTTGTTTCTCCCAAGTCTGCAGATAGCAGCGTCTCACCATCCAGAGTTGGAGTTTCTAAACAGTCAGATAACCTTGCTCACAGAGAAACAGCCTGAGCACCGTTTACAGATAGTGACACAATTTAATGAGATAAGGCCTTGGGCATCCATGAACCAATTTATGTTACGAGCTGTGATGAAATGGCTGTTTTCTTAATAGATACCCAAATGAACACAATTCAGGGCTCCGAGACCTTCAAGGGAACTTCTCAGCTCTAGCCTCTTGAAATTTTGGGCAAAATCTGAACACTTGTCAGTCTTACCACTACCACGAAAATGATGCGTTTTTGTAAAATTATGTGGAACCCATCTGCCTAGGGAGAGAAGGCCCAGATGCTTTTGGGGCTCCAGGACAGTGTCTTCAGCCTTTTCTCACATAACGTGAACACCAAATTCCAGGACCATTCTCTAGAGAGGAGATTGCAGATGGATGGCTTGTCCAGGAGAAGTTGAAACGGTGGGAAAGGGAATAGAGCGCATGCTTTCGCCCTCTCTCCAGTCCCCTGAACTAGCTGGTTTCCTAAAGACTCCAGTGCGGGTAGACTGTGGCAAATGGGCAACTGAAAACTGACCTAGTCCTTAAAAAGGAAAAAATGTCAACTAAGCGTGGTGGCTCATGCCTGTAATCCCAGCACTTTGGGAGGCCGAGGTGGGTGGATCTCCTGAGGCTGGGAGTTCGAGATCAGCCTGACCAGCATGGTGAAACCCCATCTCTACTAAAAAAAATACAAAAATTAGCCAGGTATGGTGGTGCGCACATGTAATCCCAGCTACTTGGGAGGCTGAAGCAGGAGAATTGCTTGAACCTGGTAGGTGGATGGAGGTTGCAGTAAGCTGAGATCCTGCCATTGCACTCCAGCCTGGGCAACGGAGTGAGACTCCGCCTCAAAAAAAGAAAAAGAAAAAGAAAAAAAAGCCAAAGGGCACCCTTCCAACACTCACTCTGTGATAATGACCTTCTCAGAGAGCAACCTCAGGGACCCCCTTTGAAAGGGCACAATTACCCCCCTCATGTCTGTCTGTTCTGCCCGGCTTAGAGAAACGGCTTCCTCCTCTGAGTTCCTAAAACATTTTTCATTCCTACGAATTGCCGGGTAATTAATCACACCCTGCCCTGAATATCTCTTCTATTGTTATATCAAATGGCTGTTTAACCCTTATCAGAAGTGCAGTTTTCAATATCTTGTCTCTCTAATTCCAGGTGAGTTTCCAGAGGGCTGTACAAATGTCCGCCCATGTCCAGTCCTGTACCCATGGCTCAAGCGCATCTGGTCATCACCATCAGAGAGGAGAACTGGGTCCCACCTTCAGAGGTAAAGTGCTTAGCACGCAAAATGCTTGGCATGGACACTGGCACCTCACAAGGGCCCAAGACAGAGCCAGTGGTGTGTACCTTGTTCTTTGTATTATCTGGTTTACAAGAATAGCTAGTGAGTACCCTCCATGTATGGGGCACTGTGCCTGTGCTGTAGAAGCCATTTGAAAATGGGAACTGTGAATCGCCCCAAGCCGCCTGCAATCAAGTTGGAAACTCTAGCTGTTTCCTACTGAGGGGAGGCACTTCTTAGCCCCTCGGGAGAAGTCTTTCCTCAAAGGCCCTTGGACAGTCTTGCCACTACCATGAAAATGACGTGTTTTTGTAAAATTATGTGGACCCATCTGCCACGGGAGAGGCGGCACAGATGCTTTTGGGGCTCTCATTCCTTGTTCAGTGTCAAGGGCCCTTCGAGTCTGGACGAAGTTGGTTGTTTTGGTCTCCAGAGCTGTGTGTGACTTTCACAGAGGAGAGAATTCGTAGGTGGAGATCCTTGTCAACCTCTCCCCCAAAGAAGTTAGAGCAATGCCAAAAGGGAAGAAGCTCTCTGCAAGGGGGTGGGCAGGGCCCTGGTGGCCAGAACTCACTTGGGTCCCAGCTACTCCTCTTGCAGGCTGAGGAATAAGGTGAGAGAGTGCAGAAGGTTTGGGTTGGAGAACTGGGTAGATTTAGGGAGATACAGAGATGAAAACTTTGCTGTGGTCACATTAAGTCAGACCGTATGATATAACTCCATCCACGCTGGCCCTCCACCTGCTGGCTGGTCATGTGGGTGGCCCCTTACCTCCGAGAGCCATGCACCGAAAGTCCCTCCCAAGGAGGTGAAGCTTAGAGCTTTCTGTCAGCCAGTGTCTGAAGCTCCATGTATAGGGATGGTTTAGCAGGGGCTGCTGGGAGCATGGGAGGGGAGGGTGGGGTGAGGTGTGCCACGCATTTGCCCTCCTTCCTAACAGAACCTCCTTCCCCTCCCCAAAGCCTGTATACTTTCTAGGTCTTATACTTAATGGATTTGGCAAACGTGCTGTTTGATGGATAGTTTATTCAGCAGTCATTTCCTGGCCTAGTGACTGCAAGCTCGACTCAGAGAGGGAATGACGGGGAAGGGGTAGGAGCATGTGGCTGCCGGATGGGCGGTGGAATGTTCTGGACACAGAAGTCAACCATCCTGCCCATTTGAGAACAAGAAGTTGCTCGTTCAATGCCTGCTAAGTCCCTATGCTGTGCCTGCCACTGCCCTAGACGCTGGGGTGCCATGAACGCCCCCAGGAAGACATCTTGCTTGTCTCTAATTCCATGAACTTTCTGCAAGAAAACCCTGCTTTCCTTCCCCAGGGGTCAGGTCTTCAGAGGGGACACCCCCCAACCCTCTGTGTGCCCTGCTCCTGCCCACCTGGTGGAGAGGGAAAAGGTGACTCAGGTTCCATTCAACAAACACTCTTCTGAAAGCTGCCCTTAGCAGGCAGGAGAGAAGCTCCATTTAGTGGAGCCTTGTCAGAGTGTCTAGAGCTTAAATTCTCTTCGTGAGAAAGGAAACATCTCTGCGGACCCACACCCACAAATGCATAAATGTGGGCGTGATTTATGAGCCCACAAGGCACCCGGCGCCTTCCTCCCGCTACTGTGAGATTGTTCCTCCTCTCTGACCGAGACATCAGCAGTATGGTCACTGTATATGTTTTTCCACTTTTTCCAGAGCCAAGAACCAGGGGAAAAAAAAAAAGAAAAATGAAAGTGTATGGGAAGTCAAGGTCAGGCCATACCCACCGCAGTTCAGGGAGCCACAGAGGAGAGCTTTCTTAACAGCCCTCCCCTGGGACCACGTGCTTCTCTACGAGACCTGATGGCTGGGAACACTCACACTCCCACCTATCCCGGCATCTCTGGGAAAGCCCTCAAGAGCCCACCGTCCCGCCTCAGGGGCTGATGCTGCCACAGGACACAGAGCAGCAGGCCCCAGAGGCTTCCAGAGGCTTCTCTGCACCTCCACTGCCTTTCTGAGTAATCAGAAAGTGGAGGTGAAACCCGCTCCAGGACACTGAGACAGGCCTCCTGGGTAATGACAGTCCTGGCCTGGGAGTCGGGGGGCTCCCTCACGCCTGCTGCTGTGGGGCAAATCTCTCCCGGGTCTGGGCCGGTGGATCTGCTCCACGATGTGTGACTGTGCTGCAGCCCTGAGTCACCCAGAGCCTTCTGTGGGCCACCAAGTCCAGACGGCCACTGGCCATGGGGACCCTGCAGGGCCTTTGCACACAGAGACCAGCCATTCTCAGCCGGTGGTGATTTTGTGTCCAGGAACATCTGGCAAAGTCTGGGGTCATTTTTGGTTTCATGGTTTAACGTTGGGGTGCCACTAGACATCCTGCAATGCACAGGGTGGCCCCACAACAGACCAGCCCCCCTGTCAGCAGTGCCAAGCCAGGAAAGCCGAGTCCGGGCTGCCTGCTGTGGAACCTCCCTGCTGCCACTGAGAACCCCACTCCTCCTGGCTTGCAGGACTCTCTGAGGGTCGAGGATGGATGCCTCCCCATCGAGGGCCAGACAAACCGACAAAGCCAGTGGGCAAAGGACTTCCTTGACCTCTCCCTTTCTTCCCTATTCCATTCTTTCAGGGTGGCCTGTTACACATTTGGAAATATAAACAAGTGGAAAAGATGCCATCAACATTCCTACAAAGAAGGTAGAGCCAACTGGAGGTCTGCTGACAAAAACAGATGGAAGAGGAAGAGAGAAAGGATGGAGGGAAGAGAAGAAGAGAGGAAGGGAAGGAAGGAAAGAAGGAGAAAAAGGTAGGGGAGGGGGGAAGGGAGGGGAGGAGGGGGAAGGGAGTGGGGGGAGGAGAAGGGAGGGGAGGAGAGGGGGAAGGGAAGGGAGGGGGAGGGAAAGGGGAAGGGGAGAAGGGAGGGGGAGAGGAGGGGAAGAGAGAGGGGAGTGGGAAGGGGAGGAGGAGGGGAGGAGGGGAGAGGAAGGGGAGAGGGAGGGATGAGGGAGGGAGTGGACAGGGAGGGAGGGTTCTCACTGGTAAATCTCCCTGGCTGGCGCTCTGTGCATGTGTCATGTAGAGACGTTCTGTAGACATTTCAGGAGAAGGGTTTTGCAATCCTTTCATCTCAAGTGGTATCAAGCGCAGGTGACCATCAGGATGTGGGGATGAGACCACCCAGCTGGTGGGAGCTCACCAGCCCGACATTAAAAGGAAAGGCCGCCCCAAACCTTCTCCCTAGCAGTAGCTGGGAAGGCCTGAATGGCTGCCTCCAGCCTGGAGGAGCTGCTCTCCTCAGGAGCTGTCGCCCTTCAGGGGCCCGAAGCATTTCAGAGCCTGAGAGGGAGCCCCTGAGCACCCACTTGTAGACGCTCCAGGAATCGGCAATACTGACTACACTCAGCCAAACCCAGAGTCCTCACGGCCTGGCGGGCTCTTCACCTCGGGCCCCTACCACACCCTGGCCTCCTGGTTTCTCCTTCCCTCCCTGCTCTTCCTGCTCCCTGTGGTTCTCTTCCTCACCACAGCTTGTGGCTTACTCCTAGTCTCTGCATCAGTGTCACCTCCTCCTGAAAGCCTTCCCTGACTGTCCTTAGTGCGTGTCTCCTGCCTGTCGTAGGACAGGGAAGTTGTCAGTGTCATCCCCAGCAGTCAGATCCCTACCTGCCACCTCGTAGTTGCTCTATTCATATCTGCCCATGGTTGAATCCAGCTCCTATTCCTGGGGGCTCCGTGAGGTCCCCAGGTCCCCAAGGACTTGGTTACAAAGGCTGCCTTTGTCTCATCTGAGTGGCCTTAACTAAGATCATTGTGGGTGACGCTGGTGGGTTTCCCCCAAATCAACATGATTGCAGGAGGTGGGCACTGGAGCCAGGCAGACGTGAGTTCCATCTTGGCTCTGCCTTGACATGACCTCAGGTCATGTGAGAAATCTGAACCAGCTTCTTTGTAAAAGAGGGAGCTCAGTGAGACAGTCCATTTTTGGTGCTGAGCACAGAAGAAGCTGCGGAATCCACCCCACTACCCCTACTAACAGAAGCCCCGTTAGGCTGTTCCATCAGCCTGAGCCGAGAGCCTGGGGATGCATCTTTCCCAGTAGGTCCTTGGGGACCACCAAATTCTTCCACCCTCTGTGCGCCTCTCGTTTTAGAAGACCAAAAAGCTGTGAAAAAGCTGCTCCCTACAAATGGGAAACTCAATCATGGGACCTGCATGAAACACACCCAAAGCAGCCTTGTTTCGCCTTCCAACATGGGTGGCCCCTTCTGCCCACCCCTTCCCAAGCCTGAAGCTTCCTGCACTGAAAACAAAATATTTGGTTCCATTGCCATTTCCATTTGTCTAGCCCTGCTGGCTGGGACTGGAGGGCTAGACTAAGGATGGCAAGGGGGCAGCAGCCAGGCTGAGGTCGGCCTCCAGGATAGGATGGAGATGCTGCCTCCCCCTCGCTCCTGGACGTTCTACGGGCCTTCTGCAACCACCCCTATCCCAGCACAAATGCCCGTCAGTTCTCCATTCTGCTCTGCCACGGCTCAGCCTCCACAGAGTGAGGAAAATTAGCATGCCCCAGGCTCTCTCCTATCACTCCAGATCCATCTGTTGCCTCCAAAATTTCTCTAGGACGAGGGCTGCTGGCCAAGGCTGACATGTCTGAGAAGAGCAGCCCTCATTTCACACCGAGCTGCACCCTGAGCCTCAGCCCTGCCACTAGCACGCCAGCCTCCCCACTCTAACTTCAAGCCCAAGTGCTCCTGGCAGGGGCGCCATCCTGCCTGCTGTGGCCCTGCACGCTGTCTAAACAGCCTGGGCACTCGAGATTGTCTCGCCGGCCAGTCTTGCCGGTCAATCACACGGAGCGTGGAGCCTGCGGCCGTTCCCTGCACGCAGTAGTCCCTGCCTCGTGCCCACTGTAAAGGCTGCCTTTGTCACTCGGGAGGTTCATTCATTCACTAACTATTCATTTATTCTTTCACTCACTCAGCAAATATTTCCAAAGCCCCCACTCTGCATGAGGATAGTACAGACACGAACAACGTACATGCCGTTCCACAGCTCTTAGTGCTTCTGACCAGGAGATAAGGAAATCCTTGTGTCTGTAGGGTTCGCTGTTCTTTCTTGCTTGCCAGGGTGTTATGGTAACAGCACCCTGATTTTCCTCAGAACAGCACCCTGCTGCTTCAGTCCACTCACCTGGAGGGCCTGGTCCAGCTCTAGCTCTGAGCAGGTGACCAGGCTAGACCAGATAGCCTTACACTAAGTGGTGGCAGGTGTGGGCATGTGGGCCATTGAGACTCAGTCCTGGGACTCTTACTAGCAGGACCCATGAGTCTAGAAACAGTGGAAATTGTCTATGCAACTGGTTAAGGCCAAAGATTGATCTTCTACCAGTCCAGGAAGGCTTCCTGGAGGTGGAACTTCAGGTCTTTAAATTATGGGAGAGAAGAGAGTGAAGCCATCATCATGTGTGACCACCATCCATCTACTGACCCATTCATCCAATGCAGGAAGGGTACATGGCTCTGCACACCAGGCAGGCTGCGTTTTTACCCTGGCATATGCTTCTTGCGTTGGTGCCCTCCAGCCTGTGCACCCCACCCTGCTCTACCCCTGCTTGTGAACTAAATCAAGATCTAAGTGATTGCATCTCTAAAGTGAGAAAAGATGCCAATTGTCCCGAAGAATGAAATACAGGAGGTACTGGTCTTTGAGGGGACTTGGGGAAGACACTAACTCTTCTCTGAGGGGTGCTCAGTGCTGTTCTGGCAGTAGAAAGAGCTGGCTGCAAGGCCAAACTATGCTACTGAGCTGCTGTGTGACCTTGAGCAAATAGTTTCCCTTCTCTGGGCTACATGATCTCTAGGCATCTGTCCAATAATTCCATTCTTTCTAAATCAATTAGACAGAAATGCTGAGGCTTGGAATAGGAGCCAGAGAACGTGAGGCTGACCAGTGATCCTGGGAAGGTGGATGCCATCTGTCCTGTTTCGGGAGCCTCTCCCTCTGCTGGACTCCAAAGGCCCTGCCCTGAAACGGCTGCCCCGCCACTCCCAACCCAACTTCCCAACACCTCTCTCTTCGTTTTTCTTCTGTTCCAAGGCAGAACAGGGTAGGAGATTGTGTCAAATCAAGACAGAGGTGCTTGATGTTCCTAATGGTATCCCAAGGAAATGAAGTGGAAAACCACACACGTTATTCAGCTTCACATAACGCTTTTATCAGAGGCCTGGACAGGGCTTCTTAGCAGGAGGAGACCTGATTTCCTCGGAAAGATGGAATTCTGGTGAGAGCAGCAGGATGGAAAGGTCTGTAAGTCATGCCGAGGCAAAAACCAAGACACAAATCCCCGCCACATGCACACAGAGCAAGACCACATTTTAGCCCCACTTTTCAAAGGCAAAGCTGTGTGTGGGCTTTCGGTCAGCCAATTTTGAAAAATCCCTTAACTCCAGGATGCTCTCAGAATCAAATCCAAACTGCTTTGTCCTCCAAGCCCAACAAGGTTGAAGCCAGCCTTGGGCTGCAGCCTCCCCCTGCACGTTCTCCCCTCTTAAGGCCCTTTCTGTTCCCTGAAGACTCCGGGCTCATGCCACCTCGGAGCATCACCCTGAAGTGACTCTTGTCCAGACTGCTCCTTGCCTAGCTGTCCCCTCCTTCCCTTCAGGGCTCAGCTCAAATGCTGTTTGTTCTGAGAAGCCCACCTGAACTACCCCTGGTCCAAGCAGGCGGTTCTTTTTGGTTTTCTCCTGGCATTTCTCTCTCTCTGGGATCACATTATTTATTCACTGTTTATTTTCTGATTCCTCCTCCTAGAAAGTGAGTGGGGGAGGGGAAGGCAAGCATTACACTGGTTTTGTTCATCATTGCATCCTCAGAGTCCACAACAGCGCCTAGCATGGGATGGGCGAATCTGCCAGAGTTCAACTGGAAAAGTGGAAATAGGAGATATATACATATAAATTATTTTAGGGGATTTGTTACAGAGAATTGGCTTATGCATTTGTGGGAACTGGTGAAGCAGTCTTTGTAAGGCTTTGTCTCAAGTCTGAAGCTGGTGTCAGGTCCAAAGGACAGGCAGTCGAGAGGAAAGGCTGTGAGAGCAGGAACCCATGGGCACAGGCTAGAGCCCAGGACAGCAGCCTGAAGCCTGTGACTGTTCATGTTGCCTCTGACCACAGCGGTGAGGCTGTCCTGCGGAAGCCTAGCCCTTCATCACAGGCATGGCCAGGAGTGGAAAAGCAGCAAGAAGATGCAGGGGAAGGTTGCGGGTGTCATGGAAGGTTGTGGGTGTCGTGGAAGGTTGCGGGTGTCGTGGCAGGCTGCTCCACTCCAATGAGGTGAGTCAGCAGATCAGCAGCAATGTGTGCCAATTGCAAAACATGGCTGCAGCCTCTCTTGCCTTCTGAATCTTGCAAGAATCTTCCAAGAATCTTCCTTGTGGTCCATCTTAACTGCAAACATGCAGGGAAGAGAATTCCAGAAAATGCAGTTGAGCCTGGCCAAGTGAACAGTCTCTGAAGCCATCATAGGTCCACATCAATGCCGATGGACAGTTTTAGACTAAAGCGTGAGCTCCTTCTCTGTCACACCAATCTCATGGTCCAGCCTCTGTTTGCCCATCAGCCATCTATCCAAAGTCTGCCTTCTCTCCAACCCTGCTCAGGGTCTCTAAACAGCCAGGCTCATTGAACTGTCCCCTCTGTCCAGAACCCTGTTCCTCGTCCATCAACCTGAATAACCCTCAGCACCTTCTAAGACCCAATCTTGCAGCAATAGCTCCTTTTGGAGTCATTTCATGTC